AGGCCCGGGGGTTTCGGGGTGCGGGGTGTCGGATCTGGGGGTGACCCCGCACCCCGCGCGGCCGTGGCTCCGAGCGGGGCTCTCCCGCCGCCCCTCGCGCCGCTCGGGTGATTAATGAGGGCAATTAGGCCGATAATGGCTCTCCAGGCACCGATGGGTGATGGATGCTGCCGGGCCCTGGGTGGGCGCCATCGGAGCGAGGAGGGGGCTGTGACGTCACTGGCACCGCTGACGTCACGGGGGGGAGGTGTGACATCACACGCTGACTCACCGCAGCCACGCGGGTCTGGCAGGGCCGGGGCTGCTCCGCCGTTATCGGGGGGACATGTCGCGATAGTGCACCCACTCCGGTGCCCCTTGGAGTGGCAGGAATCTGCACGGGACGGCCGGGATTGCTCCGGGGCGGAATTAACCCATCCCGTTAATTAATTCTCCATTTATTCTCCGTTAATTCTCCGTTAATTCTCCGTTAATTCTCCCTTTAATTCTCGGCTCTTTTGTTTCCTGTTTGTTTTGCTTCACTGGGGATGAATTTTTTATGCAGCGCGCCAAAATCCCGTGGAGTTTCCAGCTCTGGAAGGAGCCAGCTCCAGGGGAAGGACCCAAGACCCCCAGGGTCACACGGGGGGGTCCTCCAAAATTTGGGGGGCACAGCTGGTGCCATCCAGGGGGGCTGGAGGGGCTGGGGACTTGTAGGGGTGGGAGGATTCCCTAAAAATGTAGGGTTGGGAGGGCTCTGGGGGGGTTGTGACCTCGTCCCATGGGATGTGTGGGGCTGGGATGGGGACAGAGGGATTTGGACTCGTTCCGTGGGGTCAGGAGGGATTTGGAAGGGCAGGAACTTCACCCAGGGTTTTGTGGATTGAGAAAGGTCTGGGGGAGCTGGAATTCCATCCCAGACCTGTGTGGATTGAGAAAGGTCTGGGGGAGCTGGAATTCCATCCCAGAGCTGTGTGGATCCAGAGGGGTCTGGGGGAGCTGGAATTTCACCCCAGGGCTCTGTGGATCAAGAGGGATTTGGAAGGGCAGGAATTTCACCCCAGGGTTGTGTGGATCCAGAGGGGTCAGGAGCAGCTGGAATTTCACCCCAGGGTTGTGTGGATTGAGAAAAGTCTGGGGGAACTGGAATTTCACCCAAGGACTCTGTGGATTCAGAGGGGTCTGACGGAGCTGGAATTTCACCCAAGGGTTGTGTGGGTCAGGAGGGATTTGGAAGGGCACGAATTTCACCCCAGGGTTTTGTGGATCTGCAAGATCTGGAGCAGCTGTGAACTTCCATGGACCACTTGCAGAAGAGTTCTGGAGGGGTTGTGACCCCATCCCATGGGATGTGTGGGACTGGGATGGGGACAGAGGGGATTTGGACTCGTTCCGTGGGGTCGGGAGGGATTTGGAAGGGCAGGAACTTCACCCAAGGGTTTTGTGGATTGAGAAAGGTCTGGGGGAGCTGGAATTCCATCCCAGAGCTGTGTGGATCCAGAGGGATTTGGAAGGGCAGGAATTTCACCCCAACGTTGTGTGGATCCAGAGGGGTCAGGAGCAGCTGGAATTTCACCCCAGGGTTTTGTGGACTGAGAAAATCTGGGGGAACTGGAATTTCACCCAAGGATTCTGTGGATCCAGAGGGGTCTGGGGGAGTTGGAATTTCACCCAAGTGTTGTGTGGGTCAGGAGGGATTTGGAAGGGCAGGAATTTCACCCCAGGGTTTTGTGGATCAGGAAAAGTCTGGAGCAGCTGTGAACTTCCACCATGGACCATGAGCAGGAGCATTCTGGGGGGGTTGCGACCCCGTCCCATGGGATGTGTGGGGTTGGGATGGGGACAGGGAGCTGTGGATTTATCCCATGGGATGTCTGGGCTCTGGGAGGGCTCTGGGAACTTCATCCATGGATTGGGCCTGGGAGGGGTTTTGGGAGGGGCTGTGGATTTGATCCATGGATTTGTGTGGATCTGGAGGATCCTGGGGGTTCTGTGGACTTTTCCCACTGGATTTGTGGATCTGGAGGATCCTGGGGGCTTTGAGGACTTTTCCCATGGGATTTGTGGATCAGGAGGGATCTGAAGGCTCTGTGTGGGTCTGGAGGGATCCTGCAGGAAGCAGGGATTGGATCCATTGGATTTGTGCATCAGGAAGGATCCAGGGGGGCTCTGTGGACTTTTCCCACTGGATTTGTGGATTGGCAGGGATCCAGGGGGGCTCTGTGGATTAGATCCATTGCCTGTGTGGATCTGGAGGGATCTGAAGGCTCTGTGGATTTGATCCATGAAATGTGTGGATCAGGAGAGATCCTGGGGAGCTCTGTGGATTTTCCCACTGGATTTGTGGATCGGGAGGGAGCCGGGGGGGGGGCTTTGGGGACTTTTCCCGTTGGATTTGTGGGTCAGGAGGGATCTGAAGGCTCTGTGGATTTTCCCATTGTCTGTGTGGATCAGGAGGGATCCTGGGGGCTTTGAGGACTTTTCCCACTGGATTTGTGGATCAGGAGGGAGCAGGGGGGGCTCTGCTGAGCCGGGATCGGGAGGGAGCCGGGGGGGCTCTGTGGATTTTCCCGTTGGATTTGTGGATCGGGAGAGATTTTGTGGATCGGGGGGGAGCCGGGGGGGCTCTGTGGAGCCGGGGGTGCTCTGTGGAGCCGGGGGGGGCTCTGTGGATTTTCCCGTTGGATTTGTGGATCGGGAGGGAGCCGGGGGGGCTCTGTGCAGCCCGGGGGAGGCTCGGCGCCGCGGAGGAAGCTGTGCTCAGGTGCAGGCACGTTCATCCCGAGCCGCAGCATCTCCCATTAATGAAGCACTTCATCACGGCGCCGTGCCGGGGGGGGGGGCACCCAATTCCGGGTGATAAATTCCCGCCGACGGCCCCGGCTCCGCTCGCAGCCGCGCCGTGATCCTCCTTCATCTTGAATAATATTTTTGGAGAGGTTGTAAAATAACCCAACGCCGCAGCTGCCAGCGGAGATGAGGGCTCCAAACCCCCCACCCGCGACCCCCCCCCCCCCGCCCCCCCCCCC